TTACGAAATTTCGGAAGAAAATCTGTGAAGCAACGAAAATAATGGTGCTATGTGAAGAATATCTTTCAGAATTTTTCCAGAATTTTCTTTATTTTTCGTACAGAAATTTCTTTACGAGTTCGTGTCAACCACTTCATATAATTTTCTTTGAAAATTCGTAAAAAAATCGTTACAGAAATGAGATACTCCTAACGATTTCCTTAAGATTTCGGGAACTTTGGTTTGCAGGGTACGTTCATTGATATTACTCCTCATAAAAGAGCGTTTTGTCTCTAAATAGAAAATAAACTATTTTTTTACCACTCCGAATTTAGAGTTAGATCTATAATTCACATTTTTCGACGGGTTTTGTCGGGTTTTGGGAATATGGAATAAATGTAGCAGCAGAGAAACCAGTAAAATTTTTGAAGTGGTTTACGAGAACAAAAAGTTTGGGATTCTCTGATATAATTGGCTCATTACGCTACCTTTAATTCAATCATGACAAACAAAGATTTTGAACTAAATTAAATTTTTACTAAAATGTCATTATTTGTAATGCATACATATGTACATAGGTGTTGTAATATATCTAATTGAGTAGTCCACTTGCAAACAGCGTTATGTGATTTTATAATAGTAAGCCATAAATTAAAAAAAAAAACGTCTACAACAAGTAACATTCAAATGGTATATTCCTTTTTATTATCTGAAAATTTGGATAAATAAGAGCCTAATAACATTAAACATCAAAATCGCAGTGTGGTAGTTTTTGCAAATCTTATATATAGAAATTAAATATAGCGAGTTTTGAAACAGTAAGTTTTATATAAGCTTTTTGCGTTCTCTCTTCCATGAAGGTTGGTCTGCTTCTTTTTTAAGACGTCTTCCACTAGGCACCGAAACTACCACGTTTTTTTTGCAGTTTTCTAAGTTCATCAGAAGATGGAGACTTTTGAACTTGGATAAATACGTACAACAAATATTAAGGCGACTTTTGAAAGTGTATATATACATACAGTATGTATTATAGCGACTTTTGCTAGAGTAGCTAACATTTGATGCTATTTTTTTTCAGAATATATAAGGATTTTGCACTGTATTGTTAGTGGACATGAAACTACTTTAAATACTAGTACGTTAACCACCAAAAACTAAAAATCGAAAAAAATTTACATAGCGCACTTTGCAAGTGGACTACTCAATTGTTAATTTAAAATTAATCACCAATGCAGTTAAGGCGATAGCGACTTACAAAAGCCAAGTACCGTTTCCTATGTACTTTTAGGATGCTATTTAACAATTTATATTGGACGTCGCTTTTCAAAATTCTACATATATACATATGTATGCCCAGGGGCGCACCCAGGAATATATTTTAGGGGGGGTTTTATATTTCTGAATATATATCACCGGAAAATACTGAAAATTTGCTTCAGATAATACGCTCTTTAAAATACATTCATGCAAGTTTTATGTACAGTATGTAATAAATAAATAAACGTTTTAAAATCCATAAACTGCACTTTATTTACATAAGATTAACAGAACTCAAACACTTTTAACCGACTTCAAAAAAAGAGGAGGTTATCAATACGCCGGAATACATAACTTTTGACCACGTGAACCGATTTCAATAATCCTTTTTTTATTGGAAAGATGGTACCTCAAGGGTCGTTCCGTAATTTGGTTTAGAGATCCGATGATTGGATCATGAAGAAATTAACGGTACCCCTAAATTTGAAGTCGGTTGTGTTCTTTCCTTAAAAACTACTTGTTTAATAAAAAGTTCTATAAACTCAAGATGCGCTCAACTTTTTAAAGTACCTAATAAAAAATTTTAAAAGAGTCAGTAAAAATAAATTTATTGATTCTATAAATTTTTGCACTTTTATGTTCATTTTTTCGATTTCTGGTTTCTGGTTTTCGATAGAGATGGTGAGTTTTCACGATTGCTAAATTTTTTTACACCCGAGCGCACTTGTGCACAAGGGTATATTAATTTTGTTCACATAACGGTTGTTTCTAACAGCCAAAACGAATCGAGATAGATATAGACAAATGTATACATAAATGATCAGGATGAAAAAAGAAATCGATTAAGCCATGTCTGTCTGTCCGTCCGTCTGTCCGTCTGTCCGTCCGTCCGTCCGTGTACACGATAACTCGAGCAAAAATTGAGATATCTCAACGAAATTTGGTACGTAGGTTTCCCTTAATCCAAGGTTGGTGTTGAAAATGGGCGAAATCGGACTGTAACCACGCCCACTTCCCATATAACGGTAATTTCCAGAAATACGAAAACTGCGATATTTTAGTAACTACTGAATATAATTCACTCAAAATTGATATTTACAATAATTTTTAGACGAAAAATAAGAATATTATAAATTTTTGGAAAATGGGCGTAGCCACGCCCACTTATGGTTACATGTGTATATCTTGGTAACCGCTGCACCAATTTCTTCCAAACTTGGTTCAACATACAAAATCGCCGAAAATTTTTAAAATCGGACGATAACCACGCCCACATCCCATATAACGGTAATTTAGAGAAATACAAAATCTTCGATAAATCAGTAAATATTGAAGCTTATTTATTCAAAATTGATGCTTGCAACAATTCTTTACCAGTAAATACGTTTATAGTAAAAATTTGGGAAAATGGGCGTGGCACCGCCCACTTATGATCACATATGTAAATCGGTAATCGTTCTACCAATTTGTACCAAACTCGGTGTGGTTATTGTGCTTTCCACATATAAGCAAAACGTTGAAAATTATTGAAATCGGACTAAAATTTACTTTTCATATAACGGTAAATTTCAGAAATGCCTGATACTTCCATATTTCAAAATTTAAAGACGGTAATTTACTCCAAATTGATACACCCCGGCTTACCATGTAGCGGTTGCATTCGCAAAGGTGAAAAAATATATATTTAATACTTGCGCCGGGTATTTAATGTTCGGCTCCGCCCGAACTTAGACTTTCTTACTTGTTAATATTTCGAATACCGAAAAAATTAACTGAACTCTCAAGAAAAACGAAAAATTCATATAAAACGACGGACGAGAAATGGAAAAGAAATTTTCTTCTACCAAAATTTCTTAAATCAGTTTGCAGCTCTCAAGAAAAAAATGCTCGTATATTTATTTCCTCATAGAAATTTACAGCAAAAGCAAAGCGCTTTTTCAGGCAACAGAAATTATAATAAATATTTCTTATAATTTCCTTGAGCTGGATTCTTAGCTTTAAGATACAGTTTGTATTAGAGGTTATTAGTTTTAGGGGGGGTTTGAACCCCAAAACCCACCCCATGTGTGCGCTAATGTGTATGCCCCGTTATTTTAAATACCTTTATAGTTAAATATTTTAGTTCCCAGACATTTCATTCTTTTGGCTTTTTCACTCCAAAAATTAACTATGGGTGTGTTCGAGCTACGTAATAATTACCGACATACTGCTGCCTTGTTGCTTTCTTGATCATATTTTCCTGATACTCAACTGAAAGTCTTCTAAAAAGCTGCAGAGTTTGCGCAGTAAAAATTTTTATGTTAATTTTGGTTTGCCAATGATGAGCAAATGATTGTCAAAATTTTGTTCTTCGAACGCTTGATGTAGGCATAGCCGCCAAATTTTCGCGTAGAACGTGATTCTTTTCGCAGCTCGGAACCTCCTTATGTAACATACATATGTATCTATGTACATAAGACTGAATCACTCCCCATACAAAAAAAAAATCGGTACTTTGTTCCCATTGGAATTATAAAATCTATTATATTTTAAGACTTGCACCAAAATATTTCGGAAAAATATTAAGATTTACCAATTTTAAAATACCTCTAAAATTGGGTACTTTATGAATAAAACAAGTTCCTTAAAGAACTAAAATAACAAAAAACATCACCTCTGATGACAGTTTAAGCTTAAAAAGTTTGCATAAAATATTAAAAAAAAAATGATTCAACGGAATCGTAATAATGAGATTTCTGATGCTGTATTTTAACTTCAAAGATTGGTATAAGAAAAACTTCAATAACTGGACCAAAACTATTCCGATTCAGACTTGTGAGGTATCATTGGAAAGATATTTTCTCACCCTTTTTATTTCTTTGCAAATAAACTAATTCAAAGTATGAAAGAGAAAGGTAGGATGAACGAGCCTCATTCAAAGTTGAATTAAGGTGTGTTGGTATTTGAAAAAAAAATGGGAATGAGTTTTTTTCACAGAAATAAAAAGAGTGGGAAAATACCTTCCCACTGATACCTCGGAATAGTTTTGGCTCAGTTATTCAAGTTTTTCTTAAACCAATCTGTGAAAAAAGTTAAAAACAGCATCAAATATCTCATTACGATTCCGTTGAAGATTTTTAAATATTTTTATGCGGATTTTTTAAGCTTAAACTGTTTTGTCATCTGAGGGAATTTTTTTCAAAAAGTTCTTTATTAAACTATTTTTATTCATTAAAAACTTTATTTTAAATCGGTCCAGCTCACGTGAATCGTAATATTTTTCAGAAATGTTTTGAGGGACGTCTTCAAATATAAACAAACTGGCGCCGAGCCGTTGCAAGACAATATTCTTATAAAGTCTCATCAAAAAAATCCTTTCGTTTAAAGAATAAAGGGAATGCCGCAATATACTAAAGCCAGCTTCCCGACATAAGCTACTACTCCATACGAACATTGATGTTTATGTTCATATATACAAAAGTTTTTCATTTATGATGATGAGCATCGACATTGTTCTAGGAATTTTGGCTATTTAAAAAATTTTTTTTTTTTTTATTTACTTATTTTAATAGAAATGTGTCTTTTACGTTACATGGATTTATTTTTGTTAGTTAGCCAGAAGAAAAATAGTGAAATGAATTACAAATAGCTTTCAGTTGGCTTTAGGATGTACATAGCGAACTTGATTTACTAATAGCATCTAAAAAGTTATTTCGTAGGCAGACAAAATTTGTTATTAAGACTCGAAAAATACAGTTTTACCCGAACCATTTTCACCTACTGACCTATACTTTCGTTGAATCAATCAAACTTTGGAGCTTTGTTCATTAGAAACCATGTTACTCCCAAGAGACAACTGGGTGGGCTGTTAATTTTTGACCCTTGTTGTACCAACTGTTTTGCTTCTTCAACTGTATACTCAACAACTTCAATCATCTCATCGTCAACGCCACCACCTTTTGTAGCTCGATCATTATCGGTAACTTCGCAGTAATACATCACTTGAGCTGCCCCAGATGAGCCTACACCGGACCTATAAAAATTACATATTAAACGATGCCATCATGCATATTTGCGTATACATATACATATATGTATGTTTGTATAATAGATACCTGTAAGTCATCACTTCTTCAATCCGTTCGACGGGTACGTCATAACCACACTCTTCCAACACCTCTTCACGAGCAATTTCAGGCCAGCTCTTATTTTTATCCACAATGCCAGCGCACAGCTCTAATGTGATACCAATATTGGGCGGAAATTTCTGCAGGTCTAATTCTGCCACATCATATCCACTGGAAGTAATCAAACTATGGAACACAGCTAAAAACGATTAAAAATAAATCAATGTCAACTAAACTGAAGTTAATGTGCATAAAAACATACTTATAATGCAAAAGCATTACCTCATACCTGGTCTAAACTGGCGAACAAAAATTAGGACACGTCGTGTTGTATTGTACAGAATAACAGCCACACTATCATGTACTTTCAACAAATCCCAATTTTTTTCTACACCATTCTGTACATAGTAGAGTCTAAATGGTTTCACATAAGGTGAATCCTTTGGCAATGGTCCCATCCACAATTTTGATATATTCTCCATGTTATCACAAAGTTTGCAGAGCTCCCGCAGTAAAAGCTTGAAACGAATATTGTACTCAATTCGTAGGTTCGCGTCAGACTTGGAGATGTAAATAATGATAAGATAAATTAAACAATGTGAACTTTGATAAGAAATTAACATAACTTAGAAATGTCACAATAAACTCTGTACAAATGTAAACACACATATGTACTAATAAGCAAAATGTTATTTGCGTATTTTACCAACCAAGTGATGTTGCGAGGTTCGTGTAAAAATCCAATATGCAGAATAATAAACTCGAAACGTGCTGAAATCCCACTGGGCAAACAATAAATAGAGAGGCAACGTTATGTAAATTTGCAAGGAAAATTGTTTATCGCCGTTTACTTTTTGCACACGTACACCGGCGCGAGCAGGCCATCAGCTGATTACACTTGAAAAAATAAGCCTAAG